CGAGGGAGGTTCTGGCAAGGCATTTTAATGAGCCTATTGGGTTGAAGGTGAATAGGAAGGATAAGAAGGTGTATGTTGCTGATTTGGGAGGGAGTATGTATTGTGTTGATTTGGAGGATGGGGAGAAAAAGGTGGTGTGGAGGGATGAGGGGTGTTATACTGGGGTTGCGTTGGTAAGTGAATAGGTCTGGGTTTTGTCTGTATTTAACCGCTGCAATTCAACCCAAAAGCAGTGCATGCGTCTTTAGTAGTTACATTCAAGTCCAAATATTTGCATAAATACAACAACCTAATCAAACGACGCCAGCGCCGCTTCCCCATCCCCATCAACATCAACATCCCCTGCTCCTCCCAGATTCTCATCACTAATAGCAACCCCAATAGCAGATGGAGAAACAGCACCACCAGCAGCGGCCTTCCTCCCCTCATGCTCCATGCCCAGGATCTGCCACGCGCGACCCATCATCCCATGACCTAACCCCTGAGGGAAATTCGCCCCGTAAGCCGAGTTCCGTGGCATATGGCCACGCGCACGATCACGATCCTGCTCGCGAGCCAGTCGGTCTTTCTTGGCGGCCGCGACGCGGTCTTGTTCGCGCTCGTGGGAGATGATTTCGTCGCGCCATTCGGCCCAGCGGGAGAAGTTTTCGCGCTGGCGGAGGACTTGGTAGCGGAGTTTGGTTTTGGAGGGGCGCCAGCCTGTTCGGGTATTGGTGGAGTTGGAGGTGAGGGTGGATTTGAGGTCGCAGATGTTGGAGTCTTTGGTGAGTTTGAGGAGGTGGGTGAAGACTTCTCTGCTTTCGTGGGCGGTTTGGTGGAGCTTTTCGGTGGTGGGGGTTGTGGTTGTGGTTGGGGCAGAGGTGAGAGGGACGTCGAGCCAGGAGTAGAGGTCTGCTGAGCGTTGGACGGAGAAGGGGTCGAGCATGTTGGCGCGTCGGTTTTCTTCGCGGAGGTAGCGGACGGCGGCCTGGAGGCTCTCGACTTCGGCGCGCAGGGCTTCGTTCTCGCGCATGGTGGCCAGAGAGACGCCGGCGTCGACGGCGATGCCTTCGGTTGTGGTGGCGCCGGTGGTGCCGGAGATGCGTTTGACTTTGTCGAGGCGGGATTTGATCTCGTCGCGCTCGGCTTCGAGGGCTTCGAGGTCTTTGCGTTGCTTTTCAACGGTGGAGGTGAGTTCGGTTTCTCGGGTGCGGATCTTCTCCAGCTCGGCTTCTAGGTCTTTCACCATTGATGCCTTTTTGCTGGCTTCGCGCATCCGGGACTCGACGAGCTCGACCTTGATGGCTTGCTCTTCGATGGCTTGGTCTTTGACGCCGAGGGCGGTGGATGCTTCGTGGATCTCGTTCTTCAGGCGACGAATCTCTTCGTCGGCGTCGGGGGAGATAGTTTTGTTGGATTTGAGCTCGGCGGAACGGACGGTCCATGGGGAGGGACGCCGCTCGAATTCTGTCGTGATGGAGAGATCGGACGTGATGGAGTCGAGCTCCTCGAGGAGGCCGCCCAGGCTGCGGAGTCGGTTGCCGATGAGGAACATCGTGTCGCTGCTTTCGGTTCCTGTTTCGGAGGGCTGGGCGTAGAGGGTGGAGATCTGAGACATGGTGTTTAATGCTTCTTCCAGGGATAGAGGCTGTGTGCGGCTTTCGTCGATGATAAGGAAAACGATGTTCTCTCCAATCTGGCGAGTCAAATCTGACAAGTCTTTGGCGGCCTCTTCAGCTTGTTTGAAAGGGCCGACAACGTCCTGCGAGAGAGCAAGAGACCTCGAGCGAAGATCTTCCAGGGAGCGGTTGATCTTTCCCATGGCCACCTTAAGACCACGAGCTTGAGACACGAGTCCTTCCATCTTGTTGTATAGGAAGGTGTGCTCTTCGTCGCCGCCTTCTGGCACCACAAGCTTCGACTGGAACAGCGACTTGAGACGTGAGATTGCCGAGGCTGCGTGGTCGGTGTAGGCCTGGGCCAACATGGAGCGCATGCACAGCTCGTCGGCGAACGTTTCTAAGGAGCTGGGAAGAAGAGTCTCGGTGAGATGGGACAAGAGTGCAATAGACCGCTGCAGCTCAACAGCACACTTTTTCATGTTCACGTCGTTCTTCTTCAGAGCTTCCAACCAGAAGTTTAAGGTGCGCTCAACCGGCTCCATCTCGAACAAGGCTCCTTTCATAGTCTCAAACCCTTCGGAAGAACAGTTTGTGATGTAGTTCACAAACCGATCGCAGAGAGAAGCAATATACAAGAGCTTCTCCATGACCTCGTGGGCGATGAAGAGGTCTTCGAGGGGAGTAGATACAGACGCCTGTTCGGAAACCTTCTCACGGAAAGTGCTGGTCATCAAAGTCGCCTTGAAGCTCACGCGCTTGAAGCGCAGAAGCGCGAGAATGGCATTCCGCTCACTCTCGTAGTATTCGGGAAGATACAGCTTGGTAATGGACAAATGCTGCGCCGCTTCCTCTGCTTCCATACGGTTGAGTTCAATGTCGATTGTCTTCGTTTGCGCCTTTGAAACCGAGGCCTGAAGCTTAAGATTGAGGTCCATCATGGCCCGGGAGCGCGTGGAGAGGTCAGTAGCCTCTGCTTCGGAGATCTGTTGGGATGCACGCATATCTTCCAGGTCTCCCTGCAGAGTAGAGACTAGCTCTCGGAAGCGGACAAGCGTGTATTCTAGATCCTCGATGACTTCGTCTTGCTGGGCGAGCCGGCGACTTTGCTCAGTGAAGAGACCATCCTTGTAGTCAATCTCCTCCTGCAGCTGTTTCTCCGTCTCGATGTGGTTGTATTCAAGTTCGTCGTTGATCTCTTTCAGAGCCTCCAGATCCTCAATGGCTGCTTTCAATTCGTTGATGTCCTCCTGATAACGCATGTTCTTGTCGGCAAGTTCCTCGATCATTTCTTCAGCTCCCAGGGCCGTCTCCAATTGCTGCTTCAGGTGTTCCACATTGTTTTCCGCTACGAGCAGCTTCTGTTTTGTCTTCTCATATTTAGACTTGATGGCGGTATATTCCTCCAAATCCTGCTGAAGCTCCTTGACTTGATCCCTGAGTTCCGCTTCCTGCTGCTGGGTCATATCACGGAGGCGTAAAAGAGCCTCTCGAAGACGCTCATTCGTCTTCTCCATCTGCAACCATCCATGGCTGGACTTTTCTTCCGGGCTCATGACCTGGCCAAGTTCCTCATTTTCTTCGCGCAGAACCTCCGCTTCCAGTTCGAGCTCTTCAACCCTCAACCTGAGAGTCTCCACTTCGTGCTTGAAAGCATCCGCGGTCTCTTCCGCCATTTCGCGGTCCAGAGTGGCCATTTCCATAAGCGAATCATGTTCCGCCTGGAGTCGCTCGACTTCCTCGAGCCTCGCTTCCGAATCTTTCAGCTTCTTCCGTAGCTCGTTAATCTCAAGCTGCTGCGGCTGATACTTCGCTTGCAGCTTCTGGATGATGCCTTCGAACTTGTCTCGTTCCGACTGAAGTTGTTCCAAAGTCTTTAGCTTCTCGCGGTCGTCAGCCCGTTTCTTTTCCATGACCCGGAGCTTGGTTTTCAGCTCATCCAGCTCCCTTGCTACAACATTTCCACTTAGCGACTGTCGATGTGACGGAGTGGGTTGGGGTCTTTGGCTGGTAGCTGTCCGCAAAGAACTCGGTGTGGGCTTCGGAGCCTTAGGCGCCAGATCCGCGTCATCTGCGCCCTCCTCTTCGACATCATGGGAGCTTGTCTCCAATTCCTCAGACTGAGGGCTTGCCACACTTTCTGCTTCTTCCGATGCTTTGTTTGAGCCCGTGGGCCGGAGCACAGGTCGCTTTGTCAATCCTGACGGTGCCGACGCTGTACCCTGGACACTGGGTCTGCCTGTCCTGCTCGCTGGTGCGGATATCGAAGGTCGTGATGCGCGAGTTGTCGCCGAAGGAGGAGCGGGCGGGCCCATAGACGTCTTGGAGCTGATGGATGTCCGAGTCTTGGGTGCCACCGCAGACGGCCGCGGTGTGCTGCTTGCAGATGATCTGTTCGAGAGGGGGGTGGAGGCGGGCTTCGTCGGTGACTTTGTAGGAGACTATCGTGCGACCAGCATTAGCTTCTTAATATTACTATTGGCGTGCTAGAGGGACGGTACAATACCTTTGTTGACAAGCGTTGAGCGGCTCCTCTCAGGGCCGAGGTCGGACTTGAAGCCCCGGCGCTATGTCTCTTTGCAGTCGCAGATGACAGAGAAGTCGGTCTCTTGAGTCCGGTGTTCCCTGGAGTGACACCACTTTGGGCGCGACTTCGGCTGGCCGGGGTGGTGGTGGCATTCCCCTTAGGGGCGGCCGGCTTAGTCGGTCGAGCGGGCTGTTCAACAATTGCAGCGATGGCAGTGGGCCGGACGAACATGCCAAATCCCGGTTCGCAGTCGAAGTATCGTTCTCCTTGGACTGAGCCATCGTTCTTGCCCGTGGGCTCGTCCAATTCCACGCCGATCCAGTCTCCCGCAGCGAATTGTGTCGAGCCAACAAACCGAACGGTGGCCTGCCGACCGTCGGTCAAAGTGACCACATGGCCCGGAGATAGGTCAGCCATATTGAAGCATTCAGGCCGATAGAAAGCCCCGGTGCAGGATTGTCCTGTCGTGGAAGAGGGAGGGGAATGGGATGTTGTTGTCTTGTTGATGGTGTCTGTACGGGGAAGCTCCCCCGTTCGGAGCCTCAGGACGCGACTCGTGCACGGTTGTTTATGCCTGAGGCAGAAAGATATACAGTAGCCCTACGTCTATCTTCACCTTGACTGGTCTGCTTTCTTTGACTACATTCGACTACACTATTTTTGAATTTGCAGTGTGCGCTATTGAAATGGTCATATTCTCGTGAGTATCAATTACACTATATGTGCATTCATGAATTTTAGAGTATGTGCCTGTACCCAAGATAAGAACCCGTCAAAGTCAGAATGATAATATCGCTCATAGTCTTCGTGACATCTTGAAACCCAAGAGGCCGTGCACATCTATAAAATCTATCTATCGCATGAAGTGACTGAATCTATACTTCCTGTTTGGACTTAAACAAGTCGGGGAAGCAGGTCCTAAGTTCCTCCAGGCTGCGAATCATATATTGCGAGGCCGGCACGTGGGGGAGGGGAATCCCAGGCTCAACGAGATGAGCCACGGCCCAACCCCGGGCGGCAGCATGAGTACAATTCAGACCGGAGTCATCTGAGCATAGTGGTCAGCACTTAATCTGGGCTTGTACAGTGAGGCAGGTTATTTAAGGAACAACTCACCAACAAAGTAGCACTCTGACGTGCTGGAAGCTCCGGCCTCCTTTTCCGCCCTCTCATACATAGCCTGGCTGGGTTTGCACACCAACGGCAAATTGCCATAGTCACAGTATGTGATGCCCTCAAACATGTCGTCCACCTGCAGCAACTTCACCACCCGTTTCGCATGGGTCACATAGGCGTTTGTGAGAAGCCACATTCGCACTTTGCTGCGGTCAATGTCTTCGAGCAGCTGGCGCAGCTTGGGGTCCGGTTTGAGGATATCGTCGAGCGGCAGCGCATCGTCCACTTCGCGGTTGAATTCCAGGGGGTCGATCTTGTGATGGCGCGTAAGACCTTCAATGGCGAGACCGTATTCCTTGTAGTACTTCATGTGGAGCATGTGTGCGTCATCGGCATTCAGGGACAGGTGCTTGATAAAGAATTGGTCTAGAAGAAGATGATGATTGGGTCAGCGCATATATATAAGTTAGAGTGCGGTCGCAGTGGCTCACTGATCAATTTCTGCATCTCATCGTGGATGTTGCACCCTTCACGGAGTAGTTTTGTCAGTATGTCCTGCGATCAATACCTCGGTTCGCGAAATTCCCACCTTTGGAGTAGAGCTGCGATCACACTCAGGTCAGTGACGAAAGGTAGACTGGGAGATGAGAAATGCGTCAACATACGCAGTTGTCAATGTCAAAGAAGAAGACCGGACGAGGGTCCAGCGGCGCACTGGCCGGACTGTTGGTGGTGGCCATTGTTCGTCGGGGGTATGAAGGTATACTGTTGCGATGCGGAGAAAAGGAAGTCGGGCGGTGGCAGAAGAGATTGCAGCGGAGGAATGGAGAGGAGGGTTGGACGTGATATGTTCTGGGAGCGAAAGGAATTCGCAAGAGAGAGCGCAGGGCTGAATGATTCATCGCAGACACATTAATGCCACCAGCGAAAGAAAAGCGAGAGAGGGGAGGGGGGGCCATACGGCGCAACAGGAACCGCGAAACCGAATGACTCCCTCCGGCGATGGCGGGAGCAGCCGGCGCGGCATTTCCACTTACACTGCTGCTGCTGCTACTATTTCCTTTTTGATTCCCCGACCAGGTTCTTTTACATTAATTAGTACTAGGCTCGGGGTCAACATTTTCTTGCGTTTGCTTCACCGAACCCGCTGTCTGTCGGCTGACTTGGGTAGACGGCCATATCTACCAGGGAGATTTGATTTCCTCTCATTCGGGGATCAAACAGACCTGTACATCCAATCAAGCCATGTGTGAATGCGCTGGGAAGTGACTAAGAAAGAAACTAGCGGTGCGCGCGGTGCCTTTGCAAGCTGGCCGCCTCGACGAAGCTGGCCTCGCCTTTTCTCCTCTGCAAACCGCCCCCGTCCACGTACTTCCCGCACCTCCATCCATCATCCATCCACCGCCATCACCGTCCTTCCCTCCCATTCCCTTCCCTTTCCTTTTCCCCCCCCCCCCCCCATCCTTCCCTCTCGCTCACCCTCCCTCATACTCAATATTATACACTCCTCACTCTTGGCCACCCATTCTAGTCTCCCTCAGCCAAGTCAAGTGAGGCAGTGAATTGCATTAAAGTGCTACAGCCGAAAGAAAAGCTGATGCAGGAAACTGATTCGGTCTACTGGTGTCTGGTGTGACAAAACAGCTCTTCTCGGAGCAACTTAAGTTTTTTTTTGTCGGTCCTCCGGGTATTATTTCTTATTTTAGACCATGGCAACAGCCCAGATTTCGCCGGCCTCAGGTAGTAATATACCTACCAGGCTGCCTGCAAGTGAGGAGATGCAGGAGTATGAAAAGATTTTGAAAATAAGTGACGATATCTTTTCTGGAACTCACCCTAGATTGAAGGTTCCCCAGCAGTTCGTGCGCAAGCCCGCCTCTCGAGGCCCCCCTGTCTCGACTCCCACCCAGGTAAAATCGGGTGACCAACTCAAGTCTCCCCCGAAACCCCAGCTTCCTCCGTCCGCTCCGTTGGCTCAGAGGCCGGCGACATCGCAGCCTCCCAGTGCAGGAAGTGCTCCTTCCGGCGCGACCGGGCCGTCGCGTTTAGTCCCTAAGCCTGCCTCGGAGATTGATCCCATATTTTTGACCAAGTCAGATGATCTAGTCAGAGCTGAGATACAACTACAGCGGCAGCGGGTGGAGAGAGTGCTGCGGGAACAGTTGGAACAGAAAAGGCAGGATTCGAGGCAGAAGGCCTCTCTCCAAGACACAAAACCAGACTTTGACGTTTCTGATGTGCTAGTGAAGGCCTTTGAGATGGTCAAACCGTCTCCGTCCGTGGATGCACCTGGTGCTGGAGAGCCCGGTGACTCTTTTGACGAGAACTCGTTCTACTCCAGTAGAGCCCCTGACTCTCCCCAACAGGGCGAGCCGCAGAGGCAGTCTCCAGCTCCCCAGTCTAATTCGGAGGAGCTGGCTACTGAAGCTCCAGCAGAGAACTTTTCAGATGAGTTGCAACGGCTTGAAGCCCTCAACAGAACTGGATCGGATCAGGATGTGCAAGATACTTACCCCGTGGCAGGCCACCTAGTACCCTATGATCAGAGGCAGCCGCACCATGCTGAGGTGGACGTCGCCGTCCGCAAATATCCCGAACCCGACCAGCCGACCGACACGTATGAAGAACCAGAGTATTCACCACCGGCCCCCGGGGTAGCGCCTATGGAGAGGGACGATAATTATGGGTCTCAACGGGGTTATGCGAACGGGACAAAACGACGAGCACCGGAAGATCGAGTGCCCGAGCGGCATCGTCGGTCTCGGAGGTCACTCTCGCGGGGAGGCGATGTAAGAATTGTGCGAAACCACATAACGTCGCCTGCTGCTCCGCAGCCGTCCAGAGTCTCCCCCTTAGCCATCGCCAAGGTGCCCTCAGTCCATCAACTAAAAGACTCGCGTCCGGATTACGGTCCAGAGCGCCATGTTAGCCCTGAGGTTCCTGCTCAGCCATTGACGTCTAGGAAACGTAGGAGGTTGCAGGATGACAGAGGTCGTCCATCGTATACTAGAGCGCCAGCAGCGGCCCATGTCGAAGAAGCATTCATCAAGGAAGAGCCCGTCTCACCTCCGCCATTCACAGACACTCAACACGCTTACCGGACCCGCCAGCCACAGGAAAGACCAGTGTACATTGACATTGCTTCCCCGCGCTACACTCCAGTATTAGAACGGAGAGAACCACAGATTAGGGAACCGGCATATGAGTACGAGGTGTACGAGCCCCATGCTGAGCCTGGAATTCAGCGCACCCTTTCGAGACTTAGTGCTCGCCGGCCAGTCCGGGACGATCAAGACTTGCGCAGAGTTGCCAGCTTGCATCAGGCTCGGCAACCCGAGTATGCTCGTGAATATGTTGACCAAGCCAGTCCCCAGTCGGTGCGGGCCGGGTCTTATGCTATTGTTGAGCGTCCACCACCTGAGAGAATTCGATACTATGATGAGCTGGCGCAGCCACCTCCTACGAGACGTTATATTCCGGCTGGCGAATCGCCCAACTCACCACGATATCATGATGCTTACTATGAAGAGGAACCTGCAGCACGGGTGATGGCGCCTCCACCGCGTCGGATAGTGGTTGACGAGCATGGCAATCAGTACTATGAGACGTTGCCTGCTCCAAGACTGCAGGCTATGCCTCCGCCCTCTACTCGACTACCCAGAAGTGACGTCTACGACGACCGTACACCACTGCGCCCGGCAAGCGTGCGAGCGGCGTCTGTTCTTGAGGATCCGTATGGCGGTCGGCGATACGTGCAGGACATGCCACCTCCTCCAACTGCCTACCGACGAGTCACCGACTACGCTCGTCCGGCTCCCAGCGAACGGCGACCGTATACTGGGGCTTTGGATGAACGAGAGCCGTTTCCCCGTAGTGCCAGCGTGCAAGTGACGGAATACGGGACTCGCCGTCCCCCTTACCTGGACGAGGCCGAGCTTCCCCGGGAGCGGATCGTCCGGATGCCGAGTGTGCGCCCGCCCACTAGTCGGTACGAGGAGCCGCCGATGATCCAGCGGGTGGAGAGCGTGCGCCCGAGCGGTCGAGACGTGAGCGTCTACATGGATGATGCTGCTGCTCGGCAGCCGAGAGAATACATTGAGCGGCCTGTATACGTTGCTACGCGCCCTGTGCGGGATGAGCGCTACTACGAGGGCAGTAACCCAGCGGAGAGGGTCATCCTTGACGGGGGAAGGGACGTAGTCCACCGAGTACCTCAACGCTACTGATCGTATCATACTATAATGACCACGTGGACATGGAGATGATGGCCCACAATGATTGATTGATTGATTGTATTTGGTGCATTCGCCTCGGATATATCAATTGCCTTTGATTGATTTGAATTCTGTTGTATCTAAAAAGCGTTTTGTATTTGGATGTGTCGAGCATCCTGTACCATAGTATAGCAGCACATCACTATGAGGGGTGAGAGAGAGGGGGGAAGAATAAGAAAGAAATGAATAGCCGCATGATCTCTTGCATCAGAAATACCACTACAAATTGTATAGAAATCGGGTGTCAAGTGACATGATTGATTCCACAACACAATGGCTTCATCATCGCAAGACGGCTGTTGACAGGTTCCGAGGGAGGTATAAAATACAAGATCATCAACCTACCGTGGCCATTACACTGGTAGATTATCGGTATTCAAATTGGAAGATAGCAAGCAGACAAGATACCCGAGAATAGAAAAGACAACTGAGACAAGGGGTACTAGGTTAGGTGTATAGTAACCTCCTTACTCCTTGGGTAGATAGGGAAACAGACATGCCTCCTCCGGTCATGTTAGGAAATCTCCTCACGGACGGGAAGAACATGAAAGAACAGAATTGGTTCATCAAGTTATTCATTTAAACAATATCAAGTTATGTATCGATCATATCGCATTGATGGTCAACGGTTGGATGTGACATGGTATGGTATGGCTTCCGTGTGTGGACAGAAGTTAATAGTAGTTGACTTGGTTAGTTAGTTTGAATGGGGAAAGGGGGGTTCATCTAATGTAGTGGATTCCTCAGCGGCATTTATATGCTTGGTTCAGTTGGTTATTCGAGAAAATTCTGCAGGCAGCAAAGAATAGATTAGTTAAGTGGAAACTGTGTATTAACTAAGAGGTTACTAGAGTAGTTGTCGGTTTTAGGTAGATTCGTTTAGTTAAGAGTTGAGGGGATCGATCGGTAGTAGTATCTAGTCTATACTGTGAAAGGTAAGTGCCAGTCTTCATATCAGTTCTTCATGGATTAGAGTACGCAGTAGTAACAGCACGGAGGTGTATACAGTAAATGGACAAGGGTTTAAAGTAGTAGTATTTTTGGCGCTTATTTTTGTTTGAGTTAGTCTATTTGGTGTTTTAACGGTCACTGCTGCTATTATTTATCCTGATGTTGGCTATAGCATTATATGTGTTTCTGTATGTAATGTTACTTACCAGCTACAGAGTAGCCCACCACCTTAATATGCAAATATAGAAATGAACAACACACCACCACTTAGTACCTATTCTCAGAGCATACATACATACCCCAAAGTACTTACATGCAATGTCGATATGCAAAGTAACTTACAGAGTACTAAACATGTAAAGCAAGTAACTTCTTACCATGAAATGATGGTGATATCCAGACCCACATCCCATGTCGCCGATAGATGACGTCGACGAAATATATCTCTCTTCGATCGTTGGCTGATCTTCCTCACTTTCACATCACCTTCACCTTACTTGATCTTCACCACGAAT